TTTCTCAGCATCCAGGAGGTTAGGAGTCTGAATTCAGGGCATCGCCAGGGCAATGCTCTCTGTCAGCCATGGGGGAAGATACTTCCTGGTTCCATTCAGCCACTGACAGCCGGACATTTCTTAGTGCTCCATAGGGAACCATCCCTCAGGGTCTCAGACTCCATTCAGACCCACCCTACATTAGGATGGCTTTCTTTTCTGTTAACAGTGGCAGAGAAAAGCCCTATTTCTCCACAAAAGCTCACAGTCACAGATGGAAAGGTTTGAGCTTCAACATATCTTTTGGGGGGGTCCACAATTTAACTGATAAGAGAGGCTTCCCACCGTCTTCCTCTTGTGGCCTGCAAGGTCCCCATGATCACCTCCTTCCAAATCTGTGCCTGGAGCTCACAGGCCAGGAATGGAATAGCACCTGTCACTTCTGTTCATTTCCCATAGGCCACCTGAGGGAGACCAAGAAGGAGAGGAGACACAGAATCCCACAAATGGCTGGTGGTTTTTGCCACAGGACATATGAAAAGCATCCAGCACATTTCCTTTCCAGCCAAACATTGTTCTTTTTGTCATTATTACTGCTACACCTTGAGCCCACTGGCCTTGTTCTGCGCACACAAGGGTTTGTACTTCCCTTTGCTGGTCTTCAAGGTAGATGGACTTCAGACAAAGGCGGTCCTCCAGCTTTGGAGCACAAGTAGTAGCTACCAAACGTCAGCATTATGTAAATCTGCTGCCCATGACTTCTGTAAAGTATTCTGAAACAAGGCAGTTACTTTGAGCCCAAGATACCCCTGATCTAAGCCATGGTATTTTCCTCGTATGCATGTGAACGTTTGGAAATTGAATGCAGAAAACAGAAAACAAAAATGGATGCATTTGAACGATGGTGAAAAATAATGAAAGTAGCGTCGGCTGCCAGAAGAACAAACAGCTCTGTCTTGGGAGAGGTGCCGCCCGAATGCTCCTTAGAGGCAAGGACGGCGAGACTTCTTCTCATGTACTTTGAACACGGCATCAGGAGAGGCCAGCCCCGGACAAGCACATCATGGCTGGGAAAGTAGAAGGACAGTACAAAGAGGAAGGCCCTGGACAAGATGGATTGGCCCAGTGACAACAACAAGGGTGGGAGCATAGGAACAAGTGGGAGGACAGCGTGGAGGCGGGCACTGTTTCTGTTGTACACCAGGTGGCGAGGCATCAGAACCGACACAGTGGCACTTACCAACCACCACCAGCTCAGCTGGTAACTGCACCTCCAGGCATGATACTCCCAAACCCTATCTTCCCACACACTTCACGCCTAGTTCATGCTGGCTTTCAATGCGTCCTTTGTTACCAAACATGTGTGCTGCTCCGGTCTGCGTTGTATGTCACTTCCATCTCTTTGTGAGTCCGGTGGCTGGCCCTCCGATGGCCCACAGAAAGCCAGGGACTTGCCCCAGACTGGAAGGCAGTTTTTTTGCCCCTGTTGGTGCTTTTCTCAAGGACTCACCTTGAAAATCCAGCATTCCTTTTCATTGGGAATTTGATCCCTGGTCGTATTGGGCGGCTAATCTCAGGGTCAGTGGTTTCCACCCACCAGGTACTCCGTGGGAGAATGATGAGACTATCTTCTCCCATAGAGAGCTACAGTCTCAGATACCCGATGCAGGGTTGCTATGAATTGGAATCCACTCAATGGCAGTGGGCTTGGGACTCTTTCTTTCTTTCTTTGGGTGCCTTCTGCAGCTAGGTCCTTCTGTGGTGCTAACAGCTTGCACTCAACCTGAAGGTTGGCCATTCAAACCTACCCACCAGCACCACAGAAGAAAGGCTTGGCTGATTCTATAAATTTCACAGCCGGGCAGGGGGTGGGGTAGGGTGTAGCACTAGAACTGATGGGGATGACAGCACTCATTTTATTTATTTATTTGTTTATTATTTTAAAAAAATACTTTTATTAGGGGCTCTTACATCTCTTATCACATCCATATATTCCTCTAATGTTTCAAGCACATTTGCACATATGCCGCCATCACCATTTACAAAGCATTCTCTTCCCACCTGAGCCCCTGATATCAGCTCCCCATTTCTTCCCCCTCCTTCCCCCACCTGCCGTCCCTCACGAACCCTTGATAAGTTATAGATTATTATTTCCATATCTTACATTCTCTTATATCAACCCCTCACCCACTTTTCCATTTTCATCCCCCTGGGAGGGGGTTCTAGGTTGATCCTTGTGGTCAATTTCCCCTTTTCCCCCCACCCTCCCCTAATCCTCCCGGTATCTCTACAGTCATTGTTGGCCCTGAGGGGGGTTTATCTATTCTGGATTCCCTGTGTTGCGGGCTCTTATCTGTAGCAGTGTGCATGCTCTGGTCTAATCCAATGTGTAAGGTAGAATTGAGTTCATGATAGTGGGGGGAAGGAAGCATTAAAGGACTAGACGAAAGTTGTGTGTTTCATCGATGCTGTACTGCACCCTGACTAGCTCATCCCTTCCCTGGGACCCCTCTGTGAGGGGATGTTCAATTGTCTACAGATAGGTATTGTGTCTCCACTCCATGCGTCCCACTCCTCCCCATTCACCTTGGGTATGGTTTTGTTCTGGGTCTTAGATGCCTGATACCTGATCCCATCGACACCTCATGATCACACAGGCTGGTGTTCTTCCATGTGGGCTTTGTTACTTCTGAGCTAGATGGCCGCTTGTTTATCTTCAATCCGTTAAAACCCCAGACACTATTTCTATTGATAACTGGGCACCATCAGCTTTCTTCACCACATTTGCTTATGCACCCATTTTTGTCTTCAGCAATCGTGTCAGGAAGCTGAGCATCACAGAATGCCAGATTGTTAGAACAAAGTGTTCTTGTGTTAAGGGAGTACTTGCGTCGAGGCCCAATGTCCATCTGAAACCTTAATTCTTAACATGTAGATATGAGTACATAGTTCTATTCCCTTCTCATTATATAGATATTTACATAGGTACATGCCTATATTTAGACCTCTATAAATGTCCTTTGCCTTCTGGTTCTTCCCTGTATTTCCTTTTACATCCCTCTTGTCCCACCATCATGTTCGGCCTTCATTCGGGTTTAGTGATTCCTCACTGCTACATTGCCCTCGATTGAGCCCCACTAGGCATCCGACCTTCCTTCCATTGATTTTAGTTCACTTGTTTTTCCCTTGTCCCTGGGTTGGTGTCTCCCCTGCCCTTCCTTTCCCCCACTTCCCCTTCTCCCATATCACCCCCACTGTCCCATTCTTTTCATCTCCAAATTATTTATCCCACCTATCTTATCTAGACAGACATGCAGATACACTAATAAGTGCAAAAAACAGGCAAAGCCAAATAAAACAACAAAGGAAGTCAAAACCAACAAAACAATAACAACAGCAGCAGAAAGCAAGAACAAAATAACAATAACAAAAAGAAAGCCACTGACAAAAATGGAAAGGCCTATAAATAGTTCAGGGTCTCTTTGTTGGCCTTTACAAGTGTTTTCCGGTCTTGTCTGATAGGGTGCCACACTCTGTCTCCCAAGTCTATTTTTGGTAATCCCCCGGGGTTTCATCACTCTGCTCCCCCTGCTGCTCTGCTGCATGCCCTCAGTGCCTCGCCCCAGTGTGATGGGGCCAGACTGTGCACTATTCCCACACTGTGTCTCCAGCGCTGTCCCCTGCAGCGTCATGCTTCAGTGAGGGATGTCGTGTCCCGTTGTGGGGTGGGCCCTACAGTCCTCCCCATGCGTTGTCAGCTCTGAGCAGGAACATCGTCCTTGGGGCTCGGTGGGCCAGGATGGCCTCTCCACCCTCTCCATCATTTAGTGTTTCTCCCTAAACCACTCATTTTAAAGGCTATATAACCATGGGGGGAGAGGGAGAAATGTTTTAAAATTAATTGTGGTGATGATTGTATAATTCTTCTCGATAGGATTGAATGATTGAACTATTGAATTGTAAGATATGTGGATTAGGTGCCGATAAAAATGTTAAAGGAAAAAAAAAAAGGAAAAGAAAAGATTACAACCAAGAAACCTTATGGAGCAATTTTGCTCCCTACCACATGGGATTGCCTGTGATGGGATGGAATTGCAGGAGGCATCAATTCTGTGATCTGTTCCATATAAATTATAGCCAAGAAGACCATATGTGGCAGCTCTACTCTGGCACGTGGGATTGCCATGAGTTGGAATTGATTAGACAGTGCCCTGGTGGCTTAGTGAGTTATGTGTTGGACTGCTAACCGCAAGGTCAGCAGTTCGAGCCCACCAGCCAGTCTGAGGGAGAAAAATGAGACTTTCTACTCCTGTAAAGAGCTACAGTCTCGGAAATGCACCAGGGCAGTCCTACCCTGTCCTTCAGGGTCGCTATGAGTGGGAATGGACTGGCTGGCCGTGAGGGAGACAGTGCCCAGCACAATAGGGGCACCAGCAGTTACAGCAATAACCATTTCCCCAAGAGACCTTTGTCACTTGCATGTAGATTTCCACAGCAGTAACCTGGCAGCTGGCTGGTTCAGACAGGCACCAACATGCCAACACTGGTTTATTTGCTTTCCCCAAACTACCAAGGTGACTATCTAAAATCAATTGTCCCCATCTGGCAGGGACCTGAGCCCAGCCTGTGAGTCGCCTCCTTCCAAGTTTAGCTCATTCATCCAAATTGGACCTAACTTACGTCTTAGTAGCAATTTATTCTGCAAAGCTTCCTCTCTGTGATGTGTAGTTGATGCGAGGGGGAAAGAATTACGTATGTTCCACAACAGGGAAGGCTGGCAGGTGAGTCTGAGGAAAACGTATGTGCATGTTCAGGGTGCATCACACAGAGCTCCAGGCAAGACCTTCCACCCAGGGGGCGGGTCACCCATCAGCAAGCAGGTTTAGCAGGGATGCATCCTGCCCAGGACTCCCCTGTGTGCCCCAGCACTCAAGTAGTTAAGCTGGCAAGCTTTGGCTTCCTTGGTTAGAGCAGCCAGCCGCCAAGAGTTAACCTGCAGCACTGCTCCGAGGAGCAGGGCAGAGCACCCAAACGCTTCCTGGCGCTCTAGCTCGCAGGGGATGACATGCGGTTTTGAACAAGCAGCTGCCGCAGCAGGTCTGGGTACGTAGCATCGCGTTGATCGATAGTGTTTTATTTTCTCCTGAGAGAACAAAGCGACAGCTATTCATGTTTGCAAACAAGATCCCCTGGACATTGGGAAGGAGAAGCTATTTATTCACCTGCTGTTTATCATGACAATAGGTAATAGGGATGGAGGGGGACGAGGGAGCAGATTTTTGGTGCTCATGTATGCCGCTGTTTGCAATGGCGGGGACTTTTGTTTTGAATTGGATCCGAATACCAATGCCGTGTGGCCAGGTCATTTGAATGTCGTGCTGACACGCTAGTCTGTGTCTTGTCTCCTCTCCAGGCAGAGGCATGGGTTGGCTTGAAAAGTGATTTGCTAAATTGGTGAAGCGGGGAGGGTGAAGCAGGAGCCCACCCGCCCACCCTCAATTTAGTCCACGCTCCCACCCTCAATTTGGAAGGCAAGATTCAAATCCTTAGACTTGGGAAGCAAACTTCTCCAACGGTGCCGGGTTCTGGAGCGAGGGAAGCCTCGTCTTGGTGGTGGGCTTTTTTCTCTCGGTGCAACTTGACGAGTTCAGTGGCAGACAGATGCAGCCTGACCGGAAACAACCTTTAGCATCCTGGATCTTTCATAACTCCACTGAATCTGGACATCCAGTCCTGCCCCTCAGTAACGAAGGCACTGGGAAGATTGGATCACCCTCCTCATATGATAGGTTTTAAAATAGCACAGATCAAGCTGAGATAGAATTTCCCCCAGGGACTTGGATTTGATGGAATTTCAAAGGACGCAGGGACTTAAGTCAAGTCTGCCTGGCTCTCATTCCATCTCCACTCCCACACTGCAGTGCCACTGACCAACTGATGACAAGGCATTGATGGCTTTTCAATTAGGGCCTCCTGCGGATTTAATCTACTGGGTGTAGTTTGTTAGGCTGATGAGCCCTGGTGGCGTAGTGGGTTTTGTGTTGGGCTGCTCACCACAAGATTGGTAGTTCAAACCTACCAGCCGCTCCACTAGAAAGAGACGAGACTGTCTGCTCCCATACAGGGTTACAGCCTCAGAGGGCCCTCAGGGACCGCTCCGCCCATCTTGTAGGATTGCTCTGAGTCCGAATTGATTGGCTAGCAGTCAGAGTTTAGCAAGGTGCAGCTTCCTGGTAAAGCAGCCCAATGCGTCTTGCATTGTAATCAACTAGGAAGTCACTCATCAGTGCTCACGATTTCTCTGGCACGAACCGTCTGAATTTTCAACCAACTGAACGTTCCGTTGGTCAACAATCTCTATTTGAAAATGCAAACACTACCTTAAAACCTGGGCAGGCGATCAAGCATTTATACCTTCATATAAACTAATATTGCTACCTCTTTAAGAGCATTCTCCCCAAAGTAATGGACTTTTGCCAGGGAGAAGAAAAGGTTGTGAAAACCAGGAATTTGGAGCCTGAGCTCGCTCTGAAGGTTGGGAGTTGGTGAGCAAAAGAAACTTTTGATGGAGTGTGCCTCAGTCGTGACCAGGGAGGCAGTTGGAGGATACTGAGTCCTGGGGTCCTGGGCAGGATGGTGAGGTTGCCCAGGGCCATGGAGGGCGGGGGCTTCAAGATCCTCAACTCCCATTTGAAATCTTAAAAAAACAGAAAGAAAGACATGTTAGCCCAAGAACTCAGGGTTCAGTAAACCTTCTTGGACATGGAGGCAGGGGTGCCCGGTCTCCTCTAGCCTGCCTATTGCCACGAGGCAGAGGTCATGCGCCACACTCCATCCTTCTTTTTTCTACTCCGACCCCCACCGTTCTCCCCACACCATTCTGCAATCTATGCTGGGCTCAACCACTCAGTGCATGGACAACAGAACTCACAGACAACACTCACGGTTAAGGGAGCCTATTCGGGAAGTTACTAGGTTGTCACAAGTCAGGATTGGCATACAGCCAGGAGACTGTCATTGCTCTTCACAGCCAACAATCAGTTCTCTCTCTCTGGATCTCAGCCTCTCAGCTACGTGGTAGCCAAGTCTCTCTTGTAGTCCTTAGTCTTTCAGCTATGTGGCCCCTTGGCTTTTGCCTCTAGGGACCAGGAAACCAGCCTGTCTGTTACTCTGCCCCACCGTTCCATGGTGTCAGGCCAGATGAGAACACACGGCTCCTCTGAGTCCCGTGCCCCAGTCTGTGGTGCATCCGCTCTTGGTGGCCTTCGCCAGGTCACACAGAAGTCTTGAACACATGCTTCCAAGGTCCTCGGGGTTTCTCCTTCCTCTACTGCTGCTTCAGAGATGGCTCACCCTTACAGCCATGGTAAACTTAGAAACCTCACTGCCTTCAGTCAATCCTGCCTCCTGGTGACCCTGTAGGACAGGGTAGCACTGTCCCTATGGGTTTCCGAGAAAGCAACTCTTTACTCAAGCAGAAAGCCTCATATCTCCCCTTTTGAACAACTGGTGGTTTAGAACTTCCAACCTCAGTTACCAGCCTAACTTGTAACCACTAAGCTCCATAACCAGGGTGATGAAAATGAAAGTTGACCAGTCCACTCTATTAGCGTGACACATGGCCTATTTGCATAGCTCTACCCAATCATTTGGTGGGAGTTATAGAGACTTGGATAAAAGAGCCCTATTAAGTTTCACTCCACCGCAGTTAGCCCAAGAACTCACCCATCTGGAATCTTGCTAGGGGCTTGATCCAAGGAACAGTAAAGGAAGGAATCTAGAATGCCTTCCTCTGGCAGTAATAACAAAGCAAGGACGTGGCTGCATCTCATTTTGTCCAGGTGTAAGTGGAGAGTAAAGGCTCCATGCCTTCGCTGACCATGTTAAACTGGAAATTTTCAAGCTAGGAGGTTATCATGGGGATAAGGTTTATGAGAGAGCTTCCAGAAGTGTATGTAAATATGGAATAGAAAGACAAAGGCATTTCCCACAGAATCTTGGAAGGCTCCTTATATGTATGGATGCCATTGAAGATAACAACACAGTGAAGTCAGACATTCTGTTACACCAAATCTGATGTGGTTGGCTGGCTGGATTATCAAGTTGGTTTGGGTAATTGAAGTCTGCCCTTAAGACTTTCCTTAAATTTAATAAGCTGATCTTGCAGCTCAAGGTTTGGGCCCCAATATACTTAAAACATATATATATTGGGCCCCAATATACTTAAAACATATATATATATATATATATATATATATATATATATATACATATATATATATATATTATACTGAAGGTTAGATAATGTATTTTCTCCAATATATTAAAGATAATAAAATCAGATATAATTTTTTAAAGTGTACAATGGAGTAGATACAATTTTAAACATTCTTGCAGGGGGGTTTCATGAGCAAAAACTTGTTCAGAACATTGGTATATGCTGCCCCTAAGGTTAAATGGGCCTTATCACACCAGAGTGGTCTGCCTGCCGACTGTCTGCATGGGCAATGCCTGTCTTGGCCCTATGTGCCCTGTGCTTCCCCTCCACCATTCCAGGCACTTGTTCCCATTGGTCAGCCTCCACACCACTTCCTTCTTCTTTTAAAAAAAATCATTTTATTGGGAGCTCGTACAACTCTTATCACCATCCATACATTTATCCATTGTGTCAAGCACATTTGTATATTTGTTGCCATCATCATTCTCAGAACGTTTTCTTTCTACTTGAGCTCCTCATTTTCCCCCTCCCTCTCCCACCCTCCAGCCCTCACGAACCCTCGATAATTTAAAAATTATTATTTTTTCATGTCTTACACTGTCCGATGTCTCCCTTCACTCACTTTTCTGTTGTCATCCCCCAGGGAGGGGTTATATGTAGATCATTGTGATCGGTTCCCTCTTTCTCCTCCACCTGCCCCTTCCCCTCCTGCTCTCTACTCTCATTATTGGTCCTGAGGGGTTTATCTGTCCTGGATTCCCTATGTTTCCAGCTCTGATCTGTACGAGCATACATCTTCTGGTCCAGCCAGATTTGTAAGGTAGAATTGGGATCATGATAGTGGTGGGGAGGAAGCATTAAAGATCTAGAGGAAAGTTGTGTTTCATTGGTGCTATACTGCACTGGCTCGTCTCCTCCCTGAGACCCTTCTGGAAGGGGTGTCAGTTGCCTACAGATGTGCTTTGGGTCTAGGGAACAACAAGGGCTCTGCACCGCTTTCTGTGAGGACCAGCTGTTTAATTTCTTTGATATCCTTAGTAGTTGTCTAGTGATTTTTAAGGCAAGGGATGTCATGAAAGATCAACAAGAGTTTTCTAAGGCCAGAGTTAGAGGAGAGTTTATTCACTAATTCATTCATCCAGCATATGTTGAGCATCTACTATGTGTCAGAGTAGCATCATTGCTGCAGTTGGATCCAAAGATGTGAATTCAAGTCCTCAGCCCTGTGACTTATTTGCGCTTTGAACTGTCTTTTCTTCCTCCAAGGGTGATGAGGGTTTATTATTTGAGAACCATGGAGTGGGTAACAGCTGCTCTGACTTCTCTTTTTCTTTCTCAACCAGGGGGCTGAGCCCCAATTGAGCTCCAAATTCCCAGATGGCTGTTGTACCCTTCATGGTTTGAGCCTCCTCAACTTCATCTAGTTACTCCTCTCTGGATTTGTGAGTTTTCAACACGGTGTGCAAATCAGAGCCCATCTGTGTAAAGGCAGTTAGTGGTCTGAGATCAGAGAAGATTGTTACACATCCTCACTCAGTTTCCCGTGGGAACACCAACCTGAACGAGGCAGTGCTTTGCATGTATTGTCCATGGCGAGCAGGCTCCATCTCAATCGCTTTTCAGGAGAATTGGAGCCAAAGCACCAGCCCTTCCCCTTGGTGGCTTTCTGCTCTCCCTGTTTCTACTCCACAGCCAAGGTATCTGTCTTTGAGGGTTACAATCCAAAATGACTTGAGATCACCAGATAAAAGTCCAGTGGCAAGCTTTGGGAACAGTCAAAACTATAAATTAAACCACTGCCCTCCTTTGCTGGAACAGGAACAGCATGTGAGCTCTGGGGTTTGTCTGTACAGCCACTCAGAAACTTAACAGAGACGCATATCCG